CCAGGTCAGCACCCTCATCCAGAATTACATCATGGATGAGGGCAGTTTTATTTTGTACTGACCTGCATTCATCAACAGCACCGTGTGGCTCGAGGGTTTGCTGATACGGTCACCTGATACCATCTGGTTGGGGGTAGGACTAGAAGAGGGGCTAGATGTAAGATATTTAACCTCTCTTCTCCTACGTGGACATGTTCTACCCCCACTGGCATTCCTTCCCCTACCCAGCACCACCTCAATGGCTGCCCCCTCCAACACCCTCTGCCCTTCCTGTTCCCTTAGATCCACTGTGGGTCTCTACATTCGTAACCTGATGGCAATTGATAATCACAATTAAAAAACCCTCTAAAGCCCCTTCTAAAGCCCCTTCTGCCCCCCAAGCCAGGTGGCTGATGTTGAGGAGGGGGTGGGGCAGCCAGAGGCAGCAAGGGCCCAGTCCCGCAAGGCCGAGGGAGTAAAAGCCAAGCTCCCCCAGGAAGGATGGCAAGTGGCAGCAGCACAAGCCACACTGTCTCTCACTCAGTGCCTGAGGGATGGCAGATGATGAAGACTCCCCCGAAGGCAGGAATGTTGGTCCAGCAGGGCCCTGGCACAGGCTACTTTAGTGGCCCCCATCATCATCTTTGGGAACAATATCAAGAAGTGTCACACTGTATTATAAGCAGTTGCATATTTCAGAAATAACATCGAGCTACAAAGAATGGCAATATTAGGAACAGCGTATATACGACATCGATATTAGATACTTAGGCTTTTAGTTAAAACCTGTATGTGTTATGTAATACTAGTCAACGTTTTTATAATTTTAGGTTGACTGTGTCTGGTATTTCATCATCGTAACCATCATCATCATCATCTTGTTGCCAACCAGCAGAGAAGGGACAGAAAATATCATCCTACTTTTAGCAGCCAGCTGCATTTCTAGGCCAGAGGGACAATGTATTCCGTTCTTTATCCTTACTTGCATTAACTTGCATGTTACCTCTGGCCAACTATGCCATGCTTTTTGGTAATGCCAGGACACAGATCTGTAGCTGGAGGGCACTATGTTGGTGAAGGCTTTGATGTTGGAGGGTCTTCTGAAATCCCTGCCTACTGATATGCACTTCATTTTTTGCCTGTTTTCTTTACAGGTATGATTTGTTGACTTTAACAGAAAGATAGTATTAAATAAACAAAAAATAATGCCAAAGCAATGTGGTTCTCTCAGGCTTTCGGAACATTACGGTGATTAGGGTGTACTTGTATATTTACTAATTATTATTGATGGCTTTTTGACAATTTCAAGTCTTCCTTGTTGCTTATTTTACTTTTGTTTGAGATAACGTTACCAACTTGTGATATGTTTTAAATGGAAAAGATACAGATTGTTTCTTCAGTTCTAATGTTCTAGCTGGAAAGTCTGTGGGGGTCTGAGGGACACATATGCAATAGTATTTTTCTCGGGGCAGGCAAATGCAAGTCTGTAATTAGGCTACATTCTTTATTCCTTAATTGAAAACCCACAGGCTAATTCTTCCTTTTATTCCTGCATTCCTTTGTGTAAAAAAATTCATTTTCAGCAATTAAGGGATGGGACAGTCCTAAGAACTAGTTAACAAGAATGTTGACCTTTTGTGACTTGATGTAATGGGTAGGTGTCAAAGGGATCTATCTATTTATTAAACATCTGAAACATTCCTGAAAGTTTGCAACAAGGTATTTTCCTCTGCTATGTTCTCTTTAGTTTTAGTATAAAATTCTTCAGAGTTGAGAAAGTGTTACAGATAAATAAAATATATTGTGTCTCAGTAATGAGAAATTGCAATCTACCAAATTCTTTCCTCCTTCTGTTTCAACAAAGTGAAGAAAATAAAATACCAATTTTTTTAGAGGGAGATGTAACCATAAGGAAAAAGGAGATTGAAACCCTGAGATATATATCTCATTTTGTGAAGAAAACCTACTTAATTAAAAGACAGAAGGAGTGCTAGTGAATGATATCTGGTCTTAGTTTTAGTTTGAAATTAAAAATTGACTTTGAAAAGATAACACAGGTGAACTCTTTTCTAAAACTCAGTATTATTTTAGTACCAGTTATTATTCTTTGAAATATGATTATGCACCTAACCAAAACTGCTGGGCTGGGCACCCTTTTAGAGAAGTTGTAGCTTTCTTTCTCCAAGAAGGAGTTATCTTTTCTAAGACGATAGCAGCTGTGACAGATGAATGGTTATCGTAGTGAGCTAGCTTTTTTATTTTTATTTCTAAACAAGTATGTGCATGTTTAATTGCCAGACTGTTTAAAATTCGTAGACCTGACTGGCAATTGCTTATGTGACAGCTTTAGAAAGAACAGGAAGAAAATTACTTTCATGATTACAGTTGAGTGTTTTGTTGCTTCATTGCGATCACCTGTTGAACCCAAAATGCAACAGAAGTCCTTTCCCACTAGATTGGTGGCTATTTTTACTGTACAAGATTTTCCCACTGAACATCCATATTGCCATGCCACTTACAATTTGAAACAAGTTCCTCCTCCACAAAAGCTTACATTAAAATATAATGGTTAGTCTTGAAGGTGCCACATGTTTTTGTCTTTCTATTTTTGTTTTGTTTTGTTTCTTTGGATTTTGTCTGATGTCCCTTCTCCCAATTCTTCCTAGGAATAAATAAATGCCATCTGAGCAATTACTAAAGTTGCTTACTAGTCACTATCACCAGGTTTGCATATCTCTTGAGTTGCATATGAAATACACTTCCAGTCTATATTTCAAAGGTGCCTGTTGAAAACAAAGGAATATAAATAGGAGGCTTAGAGCTTCTTGGGTGGTTCCCGTTGTGGTGTAGTGGATAGAGTGATGGACTAGGATTATGGAGAACAGGGTCTTAATCCTCACTTGGATATGGAAACTGACTGGGGGAGTGGAACTGGTCAAACTATAACTTTAAATATCTCACTTACTTTAAAAACTTTGCTGGGGTCACTGTAAATTGGTTCTGATTTGATAGCATGTAATACTAAGAACAGAGCTCCTTGGAAGGACAGAGGCTATGCTAGCAGCATGCAGATCATGGATTACAAATTATAATCTGACTTTGCAACATTTTTTTACTAGAACAAAAGAAGATGCAAATAGCAGAAGTTCATTCATATCTTAACAGAAGTTCACGTAGCATTTTTGGAAAGTTTCAAAATTAAATCTTTCCGTGTAAAGTAGATTCTTTAATAGATAGAGCCCAGCCTCTTTTTTCTAGAGTTGCATCTTTTTAAAAAAGTTTCTCATTCTAAGAATATTTTTGAAGTGTGAAAAATAATATGGCACTGAGCCACTAACAGAGATGCATAACCTAAATATTAAATCTGTTTGCCATTCTTCACTGAGAAGCATATTCCAGTTTCTGTTATTGTTAGTGCAGGTCACCATGGCTAGAGTATAGGGAAATTTTTGAGCTAAAGTAAACATGTACTTGTGTAGATTGTATCTCTTTCTGTTTTGAGAGTTGCATGCAAACCACAATAGTGTTAGTCAAATACTAGCATTTTCAAGTCATTCTCTAGTCTGAACTGTGGCTGAAAATTATAAGCATCCAGAATTCACTTCATTGAAAGGGGACTTTTGATGACTTTTTAAAAGGAAAGTCAAGTTAATTCTGTTGGATAAATTTTTCTGCATTTTTATATCGAAATAGTCTATGACTGGAGTGCCAGTTAGCGACTTAGAGAAATAGTTTTTAATGTCTTCATTTTCTTCTCTTCTAGATGAACATAAAGATGTACAAAAGAAGACATTCACAAAATGGATAAATGCCCGTTTTTCAAAGGTAAGGGTAGCTTCAAATGAAAGGATATATGAATTGAACTACATTATGTAGTGTTTTCTGGTCACCAGAAAATAATTTTCTTTGAATATTTTCTTTGTAAAGTATGTCAAATTCTATATGAGTCTGTATTGGAGATGGGCATGAATCAGAAAATTGTTGGTTTGTGATACTACCTACAAACTATGAACCATCATATACTCCTCAAAAAATGAACCAGTTCATGGTTTGTTTTTTGTGCCAGGAAGGAACTACCTGCTCGCCTGCCTCCTTCTCACTACCACTGTTGCCTCTCTACCTGGTCCTGCCTCTTCCTCCATCATCCTCAGAGACAATGAACTGGCTTCTCTTCCAGGATCTTGGCCTACTACCTTTGCACATATGTCTACCTATAAGTTCCCTGTGTTCTCAATTTATAAGACCTCCTCCCAGCAACTCTTAATGAATGCCCTGCAACAATCAGAGCTACAGACGCAGATGTCCCAAGAGTCCTTTTTTCCTTAAAAAGCCCACCATACCCCAGTCTGTTGCAAATAAGTCAGTGTTAACAGATTTGACTTTGAAGTCACTGAGTTCAGTTGTGGGGAAAAAAAGGAAGGCTCCAGACAGGGATTATTCTCAGCCTAAAAAGGCAAAGAAAAGGGATAAGTCTATAAAGTCTATGGTAATAGTGGTCACCTACTCCACCTCAAATTGCAGACTGACGAGTCCTGAGACTTGTTTTGCCTTGGATCTGTATCTGATATTGACATCCCATCTTCATCTGGATTGGGAACCTCAGGGAAGGTAACAGAAATTCTTTCCTTAACTAAAGGAATCTCCCCATGAGTATACCATGACTTTCAAGGAACCAGGGCTGAGCTGGTCACCTTGGCACAAATTCTTGCAGATTGTGCTCCAGGCCCACAACAAGGTTGCAGTCTCTGTGCAAGGGGATCTGTGAAGGCAAGGCATCTTGATGATTGAAGCATTTGTCCAGATCCCTTTCAGTGGTGACCTCTGCCAGGAAGGGGGTAGTCTTAATCGATCCATACTCTGTGTACTCCCTGACTCCTTGCTTGCTTGCTTGCTTGCTTGCTTGTTTGCTTGCTTGTTTGCTTGCTTGTTTGTTTGTTTGTTTATTTATTTATTTATTTATTTATTTATTTATTTATTTATTTATTTATTTATTTATTTACTGCCCATCTAGAACTTGTCTACTCTGGGCAGTTGTGGCAACTACTCTTATGGGGGCTAGCTGGCCTAACCCGCTGTACATCTATGTCATGCCCACCAGATTTACCAGATGCTGCATCCCCCATATGTGGAGATCAGTATTGAGACATGCTCAGAATCGGCGGCCCATTTTGGTTGGGAAGCAAATTCACAAACAGAATGTTGGGACTTATGCCAGCTAAGTGTTAGGTAACTCTATTGTCAACAGCCTCTTTTTTGTTTAACCAGAGGAAGTGAGAAGAGGGGTTGTTCCACATCTCAATTCACCCACAACAGCCCCACGGGTTTTCACAAAATATATGGCGCTGATGGTTGCCTTTCTCAGAGCACGGGGCATCTGCATTTCCCCCTGTATAGATAATTGGCTCCTGGTGGCACAGAACAGGGAAATGTTGCAGGCCAACGTTCACTTTACTCTGCACCTCTTGTCGAGTCTCTGGCTCCATGTCAACACAGACAAATCACAGGTTGTGCCCACCTAATCCAGTCATTACATCAGGGCAATCCATGATGCAAATCAACCATGGGTTTCTCTTCTTCAACCAAGAATGAACAATATCACTTCACTTCACTTGGAAACTCATCCAAGCCTGATATGTGGCTCACTCAATACAGTGCCTCTTAGGGCACATGGCTTCCACCACGGCTGTCTTACCTCACTCCTTGCTCAGACTGTGACCACTCCAATTCTTCTATTTCCTAGCCTACAACAACAAAAGAGATTCTCTTCACAAAAAACTGTCTCTTTTCCCGCAACTCAAGCACCACTTCTGATGGTGGACAATCAAGGCTCACTTATGAGTCAGCACCCCCTTTTGCCAGGAACATCCATCCCATCTCATAGCCACATGACAGGAAGGGGTGCACATTGCTGTCACAGGATGATACACACTTGTCAGCATGTGAGAGAACTCACTACATCACCTTCCGTGAACTTCTCGCAATTTTCAAAGGTCTGCAGGCATTCAGCAACATGATCCATGGCTCCACCTTCCAAGTTGCCACAGACAACCCCACAGCAATGTTTTACATCAATGAACAGATCCTCAAGCCTCTTATAGCTCTTTGGCCTCATCTGGGAGTGGTGCATTGCCTGTCACATCATCCCAATAACAACTCATTTTTCGGGCACAGACAACGAGACTGTGGATTGCCTTAACCAAACAATGACATAGACACACAAGTGGCAGATATCCCATGTGGTTTACAGCCAGCTCATTCATCACTGGGGCATACCCTCAGTGGATGTTTTCACCACTGTGAACAATTCCAGTTGTGCAAACTACTGCTCCCATGCAGACAAAGGCAGACATTCTTTGAGGGAATTATTCACCACCAACTGGACCAAAGGCCAACTGTACATGTTCCCTCCCTTTCTGCTGATTCAGTGCAGAGCTGTGAGAACCCTTCATGAGAACTCCAGTGTCATCCTCTTCACTTCTTGATGCCCCTCCCCCCCAGCAGTGGTTCATGACCTTCCTTCTCACTGCATCCAACAAAATCCGCCTGCCCCAATCTGGAGGATATTCCCTTCCTGGCCAACATCTTGTAGCAGGCCAGGCAGCCTTCCATGAATTGCCTCTACAGCTACAAATGGAGAAAGTTTCAGCTTTATGCATCCTGTTCCCTGTTAGCTTCCTCAGCCTCTCTTTCTACTGTCCTGAACTTTCTTCTGGACCTTAAGCAACATGGCTTTCTATCTCTTCCATAAAGGTCTACCTTGTGGCTATTGTAGCACACCAGGCTGCTGGCCATTCTTTTGCCCACCTCTTGACCCATCAGATAGTCAAGAAGTTCTTGAAAGGTCTTCAAAATGTCTACTGTGATATGAAGCCTTCACACGACCCTTGGTCACGTCCCCTTATCTTGTCTCAGCTTACCAGACACCCTTTTGAACCACTTGTGACGACTAACATTCATCTCCTGACCCTCAAAATGGCTCTTTAGGTAGCTCTCACATCTGCATGTGAAGGAGCTGAACACACAGTCCTTTGTTGTGATCCCCATGACAAAGTTGCCCTCCACATTGACATCTCCTTTTTGCCTAAAGTGACCTCTCATTTTCATATGTCATAACCTGTAGTAGTAGCATTCACTGTACAGTATCTCATATCTCTCAATTCTCGTACTTTCAAGATACTTTGCAGTTTTGTTGAGGGCTAATGCAAGGCATTCTGTTGCCTAAGGCCAAGGGCAAGATCTCTCCCATGCCTGAATTTGACCTACAGAAGCTGGTTAGATTGGCAGTTGAATCATTTTATCACTGGCAATGGGACAGGAATAACTGTGGACAGCAGATATAGTCTAGGGGTTGTGGGGCAGATCCTTGGGACCCACAATCTTGTTGTCTAACAGAGAGTATTAGCTGAAGAGCTGCCACCACTGTCCAGTTGACATTTGTTCTGTGAGATGAGTGTTTCCGTTTGTCTGAAAATAGGTCTGGCTCTGCTTTTGTCATATGGAAAGTACTATACACCCTTGATGGTTTTGGTCACACTTTACACATTTATATATATTCAAAATATAGTTTCCCCTGATTCTTTCTCACATGTTACTTAAATGTGCCGAATATTTTTCTCATATCTTCTTATTCAGGGGGCTGTAGAATGCTTGGCAAATGCTCCAGGTTTCCGATGAGAAAGTTGTTGTTTTATTTTTTTTTTCATTAGAATGCTTGGCAAATGCTCCAGGTTTCCAATGAGAAAGTTGTTGTTTTATTTTATTTTTTTTTCATTGTTTTGTCTGTTGGAACACCAACCTTCTCATGTGTCTTAGTTTGCATAATTCAGACATAAAGTGTAACTCACAAATCAGCATGTTTCAATTGTTAATTCTTATTTTTGGTGAAGTATTTCATTTAACTATGCTGTTTCCTCTGCCCACTTTGTGAATATGTTCTTCACTCATTCATGTTTGATGACAGCAGATGAGTGCTGCTCTTTCTCCCTTCTTGCTTCTTTTAAGAAATATTGAAGGTGGCATTCCGAAAGGCTTTCTGATGATGAAATGATTTTCATCTGTAGTGCAGAGGAGTTTGATTCTCTATCTGCCAGCAGTCTTCTGCTGTCCACCACACATCCTTAAAATCTGCTCAGGCAGGTGGAGAGACTCCCTAGAGCAGATTGGGAGTGGGGTGCAAGGGAAGGAAATTAGGGAAGAGGCCATTTGAGTGAATAAAGATCCTAAATCTGACATTTGATTGATTGATTGATTTGATTTGATTTGATTTGATTTGATTTGATTTATATACCGTCTTTCTGGCAGCCAAGGCCATTCTCGGTGGTTTACAACAAGTAACATAAAACAACAATAACAAAATAGCAGATAACAACATCAATACAGAAGGGCAAAAATCAAATAAAGTGCAGTGAGGATAAAATAACAATACAGTAAATACAATTAGAAGTGAAGAAAAATGTAAAAACATGGAGGATGGCAGTATGATGGAAGTTATATTACCAAGCACTATTGCATCAAAGTGTAGTTTGTTTAGGGAAGGCCTGTCTAAATAGCCAGGTTTTTAGTAGCTTTTTGAATGTGCCCACTGAGGGGGCCAGGAGGACTTCGGGCAGAAGAGTTGTGGTGCTACCACTGAGAAGGTCTGATTTCTAGTGGTTGTTTTCTGGGCCTCTCTCGGGGTCAGAACTCTCAGCCGCCCTGCCTGTGACGATCTTATAAGATGGGTAGGTCTAACTGGAAGGATATCTGGCACTTGGCCAGATATCGAGGTCGTAAACTAGGGCCTTATAGGTTGATATCATTACCTTGAAACTGGTACTGAAGCAAAC